GCCCAGTAGGCTCCCTCCTCGGTCCGTCCTCTGCCGTCAGGCTCCAGAGGGAGCCGTCCGGTCGGTGCAGGGACCACGCACGACTGTGGCCAGGAGCGAGGGGCTGGTTCCTGGGCCTTGGGAAGGGCAGTGACAGCTTCCGGGGCGTCCTCGGCCCCGTGACCAAGTTTTCCGTGAGTCGAAGGCTCCGCCGCACATGCTTCCTGCACCACCACACCCGCTACTCACTTATGTTTGGGTTTATGGGAGCAAAGAGAGGCCCCGACCCCAGGGACAGAGGCCACCCTGCCGTCCGACTCCCTGCAGGCTCGCGTCTCAGGCCAGAGACGGCGGCACGGCCGGCATGGTGGGGGCAGGAGCACAGGCTCGTCGGATTTGCTTTACTTTCTGAAGCCGCCTGCCGCTGCGGCCCCAGCGCCGTGACACAGGCCGCCCCCCCCCCCCCCCCCCGGGGGCCCAGGAGGACGGGAACTGCCCAGGCTTGGGACTGACTGGCCCGAGCTCACTCGTGAGCCAGCAGTCTCCAGCCCGTGTGCCCCGGCCCGCCTCCTNGAGCACAGGCTCGTCGGATTTGCTTTACTTTCTGAAGCCGCCTGCCGCTGCGGCCCCAGCGCCGTGACACAGGCCCCCCCCCCCCCCCCCCCGCGGGGAGCCAGGAGGACGGGAACTGCCCAGGCTTGGGACTGACTGGCCCGAGCTCACTCGTGAGCCAGCAGTCTCCAGCCCGTGTGCCCCGGCCCGCCTCCTCCGGGCAGCCTGCACCGCAGGCCGCGTTCCTCGCGGTGGCACGGGCGCTACCCGCTCTCCCTGCGCGGGGGGGTCGGGGTCAGCAGTGGCCAGCGGGCCGGGCTCCCCACCGCCCCTGCGGACGGCGAGGCAGGCATGTACACAAAGGGCTTCACGGAGAACCGTCTCTGGCCACGTGTCGAGACTCGGCACACGTTTGGCCTTACGGGCTCAGCCCTTCAGAAGGGAAAGGCCCCGGGAGCCCCCTGAGGCCCCCCCACCACCCCCCGCGGCTGAAACCCCCCGGGGAGCAGCAGAGGATGTCGGCAGCTGCGTCGCAGGGCTTCGGCGCCGGCCGCCTGATAGAGCCACCTGCCCGGCACCCCGGCTCTGTCGGCAGCTCGGCCCATGTGCCGTGGGCCGGCCGGCCTTCCCCCTCCTGCTGGGCTACCGGAAAGCAGCCACGCGGTCCCGAAGGCCATCACCAGACCTGCAGAGAGCAATCTGAAGGCCTGGTGTGGGGAGGCCCCGGCCACAGTGGCTCGCGGCGCCCTGAGCACAATGGCCGCCTGTGTGCCTGTGGCTGGTGGGCTGTCCTCACAAGGGGCCACATTTTTGTGGAAAAGGAGTGTTGCCTCAGCCACTTACAGTGGCCCCCCTGCCACGAGCAGCGACAGGCGGGCGGCGGGGGGGTACATGAGGGCCGGCAGCCCCCAACGTGCGAGGGGCCCCAGCCGCCTGGAGCAGTGAGCCTGTCTGGCTGACAGAGGGGACCTGCCGTGGTCCCTGGTGAACGTGCATCTGTCACGAATCTTACCTTGTTTACCGAGCGTTAGGCTCAGATCTGTGGGAAGGAGGCAGACGAGGACCCACCCGTCCCCTCGGCTTGGTGGCCTCCCGCCGTCCCCACCTGGCGCCTCGCGGGCCTGCTCTCCAAATGCAGCCCAGGCGTCCTGGGTGAGGGCAGAGGCAGGCATGGCCCCAGTGCCCAGAGGCCGGTTCACCCTTCGCACACCTCCAGCGTGCTCTCTGCTCCTTCTTTCCTTTCCCTTCTGGGGCCCGGAGGCTTCCTTCTGCTGTCACCTCCGCCTTCCAGAGGGGAATCGTGCCAGGCTTCGTGTCCTGGCCACCGCTCGCCGCCACCTGCCCGACGTCTGGCTCTCACTGCCCTGCCCCCACCCCTGCACCTGCACACCTGCCACCCGCCCGCCTCCCCTCCCCGCACCTCTTCCCTGAGCAGCTGAGCCTCGGGCCCCGGAGAGGGCACAGAGGCCACACGCGGGCGCTGCTGCCCAGGCCCTGCCTGCCCGCCGTGGACAAGGGCAGAACTGGCGTCTCTTCAAGGCCTGTGCTCCCCGAGCGTCCCTCCTAAATTCCCTTCCTTAGGCCCCCGCGTGCTGCCCCTGCCCAGTGCCACTTCCGAAGGCCTGGGACAGGAGCCACGCTGGGCCACGTGAGAGGCACCCCGGACAGGCCTGGGTAAGCTCAGAACCAGGGGCGGGGGTCCCCTTAAAATGATATTAGGAAGGAGTGATTGGGGGTTGGCGTTAGGTGTTAACCTCAGGAAGGAAGGGGACAGTGCGGGGACGCTGGTGTGGTTGACAAGGCGGGTGGTCTGTGGTCAGTGCCCCCAGCCCAGGCCCGGAGCCGCTCGAGGACGGACCCGGGTCTCCTGCCCACCCCCCCCACCCCCCCCGCTGAGCCCAGAGCCTCTGCACCAAGGGCAGCCAGCAGCTCCGGCAGGGCCGCTCCGGCCAGGCCCAGGGCCCCGGGAAAGCTGGCAGCTTCCGGACACGCGGGCTCGGGAAGCCAGGCTGCTCCAGTCCACTGTTCGCTTGAGGCTTGGGCTCCGTGCCACCATGCTGGGACGCCTTGGAAGGTTTTGGGGAGCAGGACATAATCTAATTCATAACCACTCATCAAAGAGGGCGTGGGGGACAAGGGGCCTCCTTTGAGGAGGGCTGAAGCCAGGGGCACGGGGGCTCCCGGGGAAGTGGCACGTGCCAGCACGGCAGATGGGGAGGGGCTCAGAAGGCCCAGAGGGACCAGCTGAGGCCGCAGCGAGCCTGAGACGCCCCGTCCCTGTGCCCAATACTACCACTGGGACCTGAGACCCGCGGTGCCCCAGCCCCCGGGGGGGTCTCTGGTGAGCCAGGGCAGTCCTGCGCCCGGCCCATCTGGCAGTCTTCAGGGGCCCAGGCGGCACGCGCCCAGGGCAGCCCCCCACCCTGCTTCCCAGAGCCAGGCAGCGCCCCCAGCCCCAGGTCAGAAGGGGGCTGAGCAGTGGCCTTGGCTGGGGTACCCCCGGACAGAGACCAGTTCCTGCTCCCCAGTTCACAGCCTGGAGGCCCTTCCTTTCTCGGGGGCCGGAGCTGGACCAGCGGCACCCAGGAGGCCAGTCCTGTGCACAAGTGGCTTTCCCGAAGCCTGATGAGAACCTGGGAGAAATTCCCAGCCAGGCCCCGCAGGATGGCCCCGGTGGGGACGGAAAGGGCACAGTGGAGCAGGCCACGCTTCCATGAAGCAGCCACGGCTCTGAGGGAGGGCACATCGCAGGCGAAGCTGGGAAGACACATCATGGTCATGGGGTGTGTGCTGGGGACAAACGGGCCTGACCTGTCCAGCTTCGTGCCTGAGCTGGGACCGCTCCTCCCCCGGAGACACCGGCCACCTCCTCGGGGGTACCTCCGCGGGCCGTCTTCCTCCCCGTGCTCCCTGAGGCAGCGCATTGTGCGGACCTACACTGTTGTGCAGAGGGAGCCCCCCAGGGTTGGGACCCTGCCCCTCCCCACTGGCCGCTGCCTTCCAGAAGGAAACCAAGTAAGCTGGGGGGGGAGGGGCGGGGGGAGGGGGCGGGACCGGCAGGGTAGCAGGAGGGGCCTGCCTGGACGTCCAGGCCTGTGGGTTTACTTGTAGGATGCGGGACGGGAGAGCGTGTGCACGGGAGGAATTGGTCTGGGGAAGGACAACCACAGAGGCAGGCCCTTCCTTCATGAGGGAGAAGCAGCCGTGGCCTTGGGAAGCAGAGAGGGGCACAGGAGCGTCCAGGGACCAAGCGCACCCTGGCCCCTCTCCAGGACCCCGGTGCTCGCAGGCCTGGCACTAGGAGAGCAGGGCCTGGCCCTCGGATTGGGTCCCAGGGCACAGGAGGGAGGCCCAAGGGTGTGTGACCCAGGGAGGCTGCAGAGAAAGGAGCCAGGGGGCCGGAGATGACGGAAGGGCTCCGGGTCAGGGCCAGGGCCCCGAGCTGCAGCTCACCACACTGGGAGACGCTGGCAGGAAGCGCGGGGGACATCGCCCGGCTGCAGGCCGGCCGCTTCTATCCCAGCCACCCACCCTCCGGCCTCACCCGGCCGGGTCCCCACCATCCAGCGCTCCCCACTTGTGGCGTGCAGCCACCGTGGGTAGATGGTGCGCGTGTCCCCCATGTGTCTCACGCATGAGATGCTGCCGCCAGACCCCACCTTTCCCCGTCCGTACACTCTGGGGCAGTGGGGACCTTCCCAGGGCTCCAGAGATGCTGGCGCTGCCTGCCAGGGAGCCCACGAGAGAGAGAGTCACTCTGAGCTTGCATCTTACAGCTGCTTTTTAATAACATATATATATATATATATATATATTTTTTTTTTTTTTACAGAAGAAATACATTCACAGTTCTAACAGCTTGGGAAAATAGCAAAAAGCCTGAAAGATGAAAGTCTCCTACTGCGTCTAGTGCAGACGCTATTGTGGGTGCTTTGCAAGGGTGGCCCCGGAGTGTCAGCCCATGCCTGTGACGTGTGGTCCGGCTCCGGGTCGTTGACCTGTGCCTGGCCACATGTGTTGGGGCTGCTGGGCAGCTGAGGGTGCCTGGCATGCATGGCCGGCACGCAGAGGGCACTTGACAGCGGGGGAAGTGCCGAGACCTGCCATGAGTCAACCATTAACCTCGGTGCCCCCATGGGACCTGTTATGAAAAGGTCATGGCAGGAGATGGCATTTTCAGGGCCAAGTGTCCAGAGTGCGCGGTGGGGGGTCAGGGCCGGGCCCGCGGTGCAGCCGCAGAGCATGTGCCCACAAAGACCTTGGGTCCCAGGGCCCCAGGGCATGGCCGTGGCCGCTGAGCCGCTTCCCTTGGAGGACCTCCAGGCTGACGGGCTCTGGTAAGAGTGCCCGGGCGGGCATGTGGGTCCCACCGGCGAGAAACACGGCAGCCCGTGCTCGGGGCGCCCAGCTGCCTGCCCCTCCTGCCCCTTGTGACGTGACGCGCTTTTCTCTTGCTGCCCTTCTGGTAGAACTCGCAGCACCTCCAGCAGCCAACGGCCTCAGTCACCCTGACAGGAGCCCCGTGGGCACACAGGCTGCCTTTGCCATCGAGGGGATGAAGACGGAAGCCCAGGCCCAGGCCCAGCCCACCAGAACCTCCAGGGCGCACCCTGCAAAAACTAAAGGCTGCCCGAGGCGCCCCAAGATCCGTAACTACAACTGGAGGGACTGACTTCTCCCGTCAGAGCCTGGGGCCCAAGCTCTCCTCACCCACAGGAGGGTGTGTGTGCAAGCAGCCACGTGTGCACACGAGTGTGGGGTGCAGGCAGAGAGCAGGCTCCCCAGCGCCACCACGGTGCCCCGCACACCAGCCTGAAGCATTAAAGCCCGTGCCTCCCGTGTTCTCGCTGCCATGGAGTTGTCTGCTTGTGGGAGGAGGCTGGGCCGGCATTGGGGGGGGGGGGNCAGGCAGCGTGGCCTTCCCCAGAGCCCGCTGAGGGTGTCAGGGGACACGGGGAGCAGAATGTCCGCCCACAGGGGCGCCTGGGTGGCTCAGTCAGTTAAGCGTCCGACTGTGGCTCAGGTCATGATCTCGTGGTTTGTGGGTTCGAGCCCCGCGTCAGGCTCTGTGCTGACAGCTCAGAGCCTGGAGCCTATTTCAGATTCTGTGTCTCCCTCTCTCTCTGACCCTCCCCTGCTCACACTCTCTCTCTCTCTCTCTCAGAAATAAATAAAATATTTAAAAAATTAAAAAAAAAAAAAGAATGTCCACCCACGGAGCATCCTGAGTGCCATGTGTGTGAGGGGCCCTCCAGGAAGAAGTGAAAGCTGGCAGTCTGGGTGAGCCCCCGGGGCCAGACCAGGTCCCCAAGCTCTGGCCAGCATGCTAGGGCGCTCACGTCCAGTTGCTGCTGTGGTGGATGTGGCCCTTGCAGTCTCAGCCGGCCCTGTGACATCAACACGGTGTGGCACTTCCCACCCCCACCTCCCACCTAGGGGCAGCAGATGCCCAGATGCCTGGGGCGGGGCCCCGGGTCCCCTTCACTCCAGGCACCACCAGACCACAGCCACATGTCCACGCCCGAGAAGAGCCCCACATCATAAGCGCGCACCCGTCGCAGGCGCGCGCTGCAGTGAGCTCAGCAGTTAGGACCCCGGTCCCCAGTCTCGGGGAGTCAGCGTGGGGGAGGCCAGGGCATGTGCTGCCCCTCCTCCAGAGCCCTCAGCCTGTTTGTCCCCTGGCGTCCACACTTGGTTGGCACACCCAGAGTGCTCCTTGCCTGCAGCCGTGCTCAGGAAGAGAGACCGCCTGTCCCCAACCCCAGGCAGAGCGTGGCCGTGCCCTCAGGCGGCCTGGGTGTGCTACACTGAGGCTTTCCCTTTCTGGGCGCTGGCTCTCACTGAACCGGGCAGACAGCTTCTCCAGGAGGACGGGAGAGGGCTGCCATGTGACCTGTGTGCCTCAGGTGGCCTTTGTGGCTTCAGTTTGCCCTCGAGTAAAATGTGAACGTTGCCATCCGCCTGCCTGGCTCACAGGTGTAAGGGAGTGTGCAGACGCATGTCAGAAGGGGAGCCCACGAATGGGGTGATGGTGCTGGTCCACGCGGTGCCTGCTGTACGGCCGAGAAGTCAGAGACCAGGTCCCAGGGGTTGGCGATGGCCCCTGCCCTGTCCTGTGCCTCTGTCATGGGGTTCGTGGAGCCCCATGTGAACACGCACGGGCATGGGGGACGCCCTAACCACAGGCTCGTCCTGGGTGGGCCGCACTTCCAAGAGCTGCAGGGGTGAGGGCAGGTCATTCCCAACGGGCCCCGAAGCGGCAGCCGGGAGGCGGCCTTGCCGGGGGGTGCCACAGTCCCGGCGCTCGGCTGTTTGTAGAAGTGAGGCGTGGCCATGTGACTTCCTTATGCCCTGTCACTTCCCACGGAGACGCTTCAGAGCCCGCGAGCGAGCCCGAGCCCTCTCCGTGGCGCAGACCCAGGCCCTCCATCCCAGGCTGTGTCGGCCTGGAAACAGTCCCCATCACCTGGCCCCTGCAGGCCACAGTGACCAGCAGGAAGTGAGCATGGGATCATTCAAGTCACCAAAAGTTGGGAGTGCTGTGCAGCACGCCAGCCGGTCCTGGCCCCGGTGCAAAGTATCTGAAAAATGATTAAATTGAAAGAGAAGGAAAACCCTATGGGAAGGTTGTTCAGGACATTATTTCAACCGTTGGACCTTAGGGCCCTCCCCGCCCCTTTTCCTGGTGGAAAGCTCCCAGGGACAGGGTGCCACGGGAGGGACTGGAGCATCCTGGCCCCCAGACGCCAGTGGGACCTAGCGGGGCTGGGAGCGCCGTGGGGCACGTGGGGGCACATGGCCAGGTGAAGCTGTGTTGTCGGGACTCACAGTGCCCATCCCGTTCTGTGCTGTCCCTGAGCGTTCTGGCCAGTGTCCCGCCCCTGGAAGCCAGGCAGGAGGGGTTGTCATGGAGCCCAGCAAGGAGCTCAGCGTTTGCTTTCAAGACAATGGGGTGGCTACAAAGCAGCGGGGCGCTGGCCTTGCAGGGGACCGCTAGGGCCTCCTCCGGCTTCACAAAGAGCCCACTTGGGGGCCCATCGGGGCATGGCCACCAGGGCTGGGGGAACTCCATCCTGGACTCTCTCTCAGGTGACCCGTAAACGGGCCGCCTGTTTCTTTTTGGTCTGGAAGCCTAGGTCTTTTTGTAAGTTCGGTAACCATGTGAGCAGGGAAATGTATGCAACGCAAGGCTTGAGCCTCCGTCGGACGTGTGCGCGCCCGTGGGGGCGAGTGGCCATGTGCGCGCGCAGTGCCTCTGCCGGGGTGGGGGGCCTTTGTTCGCACCAGGCCAATTTGTGTCCGTGCCACGCCCCGGCCGAGGCTCCGGGAGCCGAGCGCGCGCGCCGGCCCGTGAGGTTTGGGAGAACGGGCGCGCGGTGCTGCGGTGACCGGCAGTGACCCCGCCCGGTGCGCCCTCGGCAGGGGTCAACGACCGCCGCGCCGCCCGGCCCATCACCCTATCGCTTAGCAACGCCCACTCCCGCGCCGCCATTGGACCGGCGCGGACGCCCCCGGATCCCGATTGGCCGCGGCTCCGAGAGGGTCCCGCCCACCTCCGCCCCACCCCCCACCTCCGCCCCACCCCCCCACCCCCACCCCCGCCTCAACCCCCCCACCCCAGGCCCGGTTCCGCGCGGCCAGAACGCGGGCCATCAGTCTGTCTTCTCGGGGGTCCGGCCGGCCCCCAGCATGCCCCCAGGGTGACCCCAGAGTGGCCCAAGCACATCCCCGTCCAACTTCACCCGCGCGGCGCGCACACGTGGCCCCCGCAGCCCGAGGGCGGAGGTCGGCCCCGGGAGGGGGCGGGGGCCTGCGGCGGCCTCAGTCCCCGCGCATGCGCGTGCGCCGCCGGGGGTTCCGCGCCGCCGGCCCGCGGGGGCGGGGCACAGAAGCCGGGGGCGGGGCCCCCCCGGCGCCCCCCCCCCCCCGAGCGCCGGGTACCCCAGCCCTGCGCGCTCCCGCGCGGGGTCCCGGCGGCTCGGCGGCGCGCCGCATCACCCCACTGGCGGCGGCGCGCCGGGTCCCGGGGCGCAGCCCCGACGCTCATTGGCCTGGGCGGCGCAGCCAAGCTGTCAGCCCATGTGGCGTGTCCGCGCGGGGACGGCCGCGGTTAAATAGAGTCGGCGCCGGCCTAGAGGGAGCCAGAGAGACGCCGCGGCCCGCGCTCCTCCGCCGCCGCGCTCCCTCCTCGCGCCCCGCCGCTCGCTCCGCCCGCCGCCCGCGCCCACACCAGGTACGAGCGGCGCGGCCGGGCCGCGGGCTCCGAGTCCCGGGTCTGGGTGCGCAGGGCGCCGGGCTCGGGCGCCACGGGCCCGGCGGGGCAGGTGGGCGACGGCGAGGGGCGCCCGCCGAGCGCGCCGCGAACAGCCATTTTGGCCGCGGGCTGGGCCACGCGGGCCTCGCCGCCGACCCCCTCCGCCCGCGGCCCACGCCGCGCCCGGGGAGGGAGGGACGCGGCCGGCACGGCGGCGTGGGGGCGGGGGGCCGGCTTCCATCACGTGGGCGCCTCGCGGAGCCCCGAAGTTCTGGGGGGCCGGCCGGCGGCGGCGCCGCGGGGGCTCCAGCCCCTGCCCGGGCCGCGCGGGACTCGGCGTGAATAGCAAGTAGGGAGAACAGCGGGCGCGCTCAGGAGGGGCTGCCGCCCCGGCGTGGAGCCTCCGGGCCGCCAAAGGGCTCTTTATTCAGCGCCGGGGGTGGGGCCCCCTCCCGGCCGGGGACTCAGGGCCGCCGGGCCGCCCGAGGAAGACGCTGCTCTGGGCCCGCGCGCCCCGGCTCGGAGGGCCCCGGAGACGCGGGAGGCCGGGGGCCGGCGTGTCCACCCTCGTTCGTGCCACGAGGCCCCGGGGCCTTGGCGGAAGTTTGCCGGAGCAGCGCCGGCCTTGCCGCCGCCTTCCCGGACCCCCAGGCCCGGGGTGGCCTGGGCTTGCTCTGCAGGGGCCTCGGAACCTCGGTCCGGATGCAGCGGCCTGGGGCGCCGGCTGCACAGGTGTGCGGACCTGGGCCCCGGCCCCGGGCGGGAACCGGGAATGCTGCTCCTGGCGGAGGCGCTGGACCGGCTCTTCCCCAGAGCCCTGAGAAGCTGTGGCGTTTGGGACCCTTGGGTCCCTCCGAGAGCCTGGCAGTTGGCCGCCCTGTGTGACAACGGGCCCCTGCCTCAGGCACGGAGGGCAGCCTGGGATGCTGAGTGCAGGGCCCGCCGGTGGTGTGGGCTGGCGTCACTCCCGCTGGCGTATTTTCTTTCTCAAACCTTGGTACTTTTTTTCCTTTTTTTTTTTTTTTTTTTTTGCTTTGTTTCATGGGTTGGTTCTTACCATCTTAACAGATTTATGGCCAAGCGGCCCTGTCTTGGGAAGAGTTCAGCCCATTTGGGGTGGCCTTGTCTGCTGCCCTCTGTGAGGCCCCCTACCGGGAGCACCCCAGCAGCAAGTTGCAAAGGCCAGAGACTGTTGGGGCCCAGATACGTGGCAGCAGGGCTATCGGGGTGGGGGTGGGAGGTCACCCCTGGCCCGAAGTGACAGGCTCGAGGGTCCAGTCCTCCCAGTTAAAAGCAAGGAAGTAAGGGCTGCCTGGACCAGGGTGGATTCCCCCCCGCCCCCCCATATAGCCAGGGCGCCTGAGCTGGCCACCAGGATCTTGGTCTCACAAACCCATAGGTGGTGCTGTGGGGTCAGGAAGCCAGGGGAGAGGCTGCAGGCTGGTGGTCTGACGGCCGGATCTGACCAGTGCTGGGCCCTCACGCTACTCTCCCCGCACAGAGCAGCCATGGAGGAGGTTGTGATTGCTGGCATGTCTGGGAAGCTGCCCGAGTCGGAGAACTTGGAGGAGTTCTGGGCCAACCTCATCGGTGGCGTGGACATGGTAACAGATGATGACAGGAGGTGGAAGGCAGGTGAGTGGGTGGCCCTGAGGCTCCCCCACGTGGGGGTGCCGCACTTGCCGTGGGTGCAGCCTCCCGGCTGCCTGGGGCAGACCAGCTGGGGCCTGAGCCCCAGTCCCAACTGCAGAGCCTCACTGCCCACAGAGGGTCTCAGAGCCTGGGCGTGGGAGGCTGAGGACCAGCCCAGGTGTGCATCCGCCCGTGTTATGATCAAGCTGGGTGACCTGCTGGGGGAACAGAGTCGGGGTGAGGCCAGGTGGGCAGGCACCTCTGGCCCCACCACCCACCGCTCTGTCCCTGCCGGCCCATGAGTCCCGGGCTGTCAGATAAGATGCCAGGCTCTCTTGGGAAGCTGGTTTGACTCCCTCCCGCCCAGTAGATTTTTTTGCAGAGCGGCTCTACCTGATCTACGGGATGTGAGTCAGCACAGTGGAGTCTGGCTCAGCCTCACAGGCAGGAGCAGGCCAGGCAGAGGGTCTCCAGCTAGGGCAGTGGTGGGTGGGAGGAGGCACTGTCCCCACTATGCTCTGCTCAGAGGTCGCCACCCACATGGTTGCCCAGTGGGGCCCCTTCTCCGAGCAGGGCTGGGGTCGCAGTCGGCCTTGTGGGGCCCAGGGGCACCCCAGGCCCAGCAGCACCAAGCTCTGCTTCTGAGGCTGCTGCCTGGTCCCCCCGGAGATCTCGCGGCTCCCCGTCACAGCAGGGACTTTGCCGTCGGTCTCTTGGGACCCACAGCCCTCCACCTGCTTGTGTCTCCAGGACTCTACGGCCTGCCCAAGCGGACCGGCAAGCTGAAGGACTTGTCCAAGTTCGACACCTCCTTCTTCGGGGTCCACCCAAAGCAGGCTCACACGATGGACCCCCAACTGCGCTTGCTACTGGAGGTCGCCTACGAGGCCATCCTGGATGGAGGTGGGTCCTCCAGAGGCCGCTGGCCAACTGTGGCCACCTCAGGGCCAACGGCCCATCTCTGCGGTCCCCACTTCCCTAGAAAACACAGCAACGTGCTCTTTCGCTCTTCTAAAAGCAACCCACGTTCGGGGTAGAAGCGTCAAGGCACACATCACCCAGGCGGAACCCGAGGCCACCATGCCTCTCCTGGGCCCTGGTCCAGGGCCAATGGGCTCGGGAGGCGTGGGCCTGCGCACACGCCGGGGGTTTCACAACCACACACACAGGTGTCCCTGGCATGCCCAGGTGGCCCAGTTCCCTCCCTCCCCGGTGAACGGCTAATGTGGGGCGTGGGCTGGACGCCAGGCAGGGCAGGGGCGGGATTCTGCCCCCAGGGCTTCCCCCTCGTCCCCTGCTCTCTCTGGGCTGCGTCCGGCCTTGGACAAGTACCTCAAGGTGGCTGTCCTTTGTCACGGGGAGCAGACCTGTCCCTGCCGCCCCCAGGGGCATGGAGAGGAGGCCAGCCGTGTGGGTGTGGTGCCTCAGTAGGTGGGGGGGTGGAAGCCCAGCCCCGGGGCGGTTGGGGGGCCAGTCCTGGCCTTTCAGCTCTCTCGCCCAGCAGCAGGTGCTGGCCAGGCCCCGGGGCTGGTCTGCACACAGCACTCAGAGGTGAAGGGTGAGCAGAGGCCTTTCCACTGCCCAGGCCCCACCCAGAGACCTTGGACACCGCTCCCTAGGGGCTGGCCAGGGTCCCTCCCTCCTTTCCCAGCCTGGACAGTCAGCCTTTGTCTTCCTCTGTCTTCTTATCTCAGCCCATCCTAGAGTAGGCCGCCCTTGGTGCTTGGGTGCTCATTGGTCATCGGGGCTTGCCAGACCCTGCTTGTGACGCCAGGGCCAGGGGAGTATCCTGGGGACAATGCTGCTTCTGTCCTCACCTCCAGTTGTCTCTGGTCTCTGCCTGACCCAGAGTCTGGAGCACTGTCTGTCCCCTGGGCCCCTGGTTTCTTCTGACCCACTTATCTGCTCTCAGTCCTGCCTGGGCTGGCTGTCCCGCTTGGGCCCCCCTCGAGTCAGGCTGAGATGGGGCTTCCTATACTTTACCCTAGAGTGGGTGCAGGCGGGGTGCACACTGGCAGGCCCGGCTACTAGCTAGCTGCTCCCCCTGTTCTCCGCAGGCATCAACCCAGCCTCCCTGCGAGGGACACACACAGGCGTCTGGGTGGGTGTGAGCGGCTCAGAGGCCTCAGAGGCTCTGAGCCGAGACCCCGAGAATCTCCTGGGCTACAGCATGGTGGGCTGCCAGCGGGCTATGATGGCCAACCGTCTTTCCTTTTTCTTTGATTTTAAAGGTAGGTCCCCTGCTGGCCTGGCCCGGCCTCTGGTTCCCCCCAGGAAGGTGGACTAGGGCGAGTGGGGGGCGCCCTGCTAGAGACTCTTGCTTGCAGGACCCAGCATCGCTCTGGACTCAGCCTGCTCCTCCAGCCTGCTGGCGCTTCAGAGCGCCTATCAGGCCATCCGCAACGGGGAGTGCCCGGCGGCCATCGTGGGCGGCATCAACATCTTACTCAAGCCCAACACCTCCGTGCAGTTCATGAAGCTCGGCATGCTGAGTCCCGAAGGCTGCTGCAAGTCCTTCGACGAGTCCGGTGAGTGGCGGCAGGGAGTTAGGGGCAGGGCAGGCGGGGGGACCACTGGATGGCGCTGGCACCCCAGCTTCGTCTGACACCAGCCACGCCCTGAGCTCTGCCCAGAGCTCCCAGCCTCGGGGGCTGGGAGTCAGCATAGGCGCCTTCTGCCCTCAGGGAACGGCTACTGCCGCTCAGAGGCGGTGGTGGCCGTCTTGCTGACCAAGAAGTCCCTGGCCCGGCGTGTGTACGCCACCATCCTCAATGCCGGCACCAACACAGACGGCTGCAAGGAGCAAGGTGGGTGTGGCCGCGGGCAGGGGGGGCCGGAGGGGCCGGGCCAGGGCCACTCCAGGTGGTCAGCGGTGGGCGCAGGGGGACTGAGGCCTGGCTCCTCCCTCAGGTGTGACCTTCCCCTCTGGGGACGTGCAGGAACAGCTCATCCGCTCCTTGTACGAGCCAGCCGGGCTGGACCCAGAGTCTCTTGAGTATATCGAAGCCCACGGCACGGGCACCAAGGTGAGAACCACAGCCACGCCCTGCTCCTAAGAGGCACCCAGGTGGGGTCCTGACCCTCTTTTTGTCTTCCACAGGTGGGGGACCCCCAGGAGCTGAACAGTATCACCCGAGCCCTGTGTGCCACCCGCCGGGACCCCCTGCTGATCGGGTCCACCAAGTCAAACATGGGGCACCCCGAGCCTGCCTCGGGGCTCGCGGCTCTGGCCAAGGTGGGTGGGCTGGTCTCAGCCATCCTCCCTGCTGGGCAAGGCCGTGCCGTGGGGTGCCAGCCCCTGAGGCCTGGACAGCGGTGCACTAGGATATGACAGGTCCTCACCCCCGGCTTGCTGTGGGTCAGACCCTCCACCAGGGAAGGTGAAGCGGCTGGGACCGCCCCAGGCAGGTGGCCCGGCCTTCAGGACTCCCCCATCCCACGGCCTCCCGACCAGCCAGTGGGGGCTGGCGGGGAGGCCACGCAGTGGGAGCTTCTGGGTATGGTGGGGACTTACTGACGCTCTCGGCTCCTTTAGGCTGACGCAGGGAAAGGGGCTTGTGGTCAGGTCACTGGGTCGCCACACCACAGGTGGTGGATGTGGACGGGACCTGTGGTGTGGCGACAGGAGGGGAAGACCCCTGGACCCCGCCCCAGGCAGGGAGTACGGGGTCAGGTGCCCCACCAACTGCGAGCCACCCACAGGTGCTGCTGTGCCTGGAGCACGGGCTCTGGGCCCCCAACCTGCACTTCCACAGCCCGAACCCTGAGATCCCCGCGCTTCTGGACGGACGGCTGCAGGTGGTGCGCCAGCCCCTGCCCATCCGCGGAGGCAACGTGGGCATCAATTCCTTTGGCTTCGGAGGCTCCAACGTGCACGTCGTCCTCCAGCCCAACCTGCGGCCGCCCCCGGCGCCTGCCCCGCACGCCGCCCTGCCCCGTCTGATGCTGGCCAGCGGGCGCACCCCTGAGGCCGTGCAGTGCCTGCTCGAACAGGGCCAGCGGCACAGCCAGGACCTAGGCCTCCTGAGCATGCTCAACGACATCGCAGCCAGCCCCCCCACCGCCATGTCCTGCCGAGGCTACACCGTGCTGGGCGGCAAGGGCCACGGGCAGGAGGTGCAGCACGTGCCGGCTGGCGAGCGGCCCCTCTGGTTCATCTGCTCCGGTGAGAACCCTGCTCCCCGGCCCTCCCTGCAGGCTGAGTGGGGGCTGGGGCAGGGCGGCCCGGCCCCTGACGTCTCTCGCTGAAACAGGGATGGGCACGCAGTGGCGCGGGATGGGCTTGAGCCTCATGCGCCTGGGCAGCTTCCGAGACTCCATCCTGCGCTCCGACAAGGCCGTGAGGCCCCTGGGCCTGCAGGTGTCCGAGCTGCTGCTGACCACGGACGAGGCCGCCTTCGACGACAACGTCTACGCCTTCGTGAGCCTCACTGCCATCCAGGTGCGCCCGCGGGGCGGTGGGCAGGGCGGGAAGCTGGGAAGCAGTGGGGCGCCCAGCTTGACGCGGCTGCTGTGACCAGCCTGGCATCGCCGGGACTGGCATGATGTGTCGTCTTCCCCCTTCCCTTCCCCCTTCCCCCCCCCTTCCCCCTTCCCCCCAGATTGCCCTCATAGACTTGCTGACCTCGGTGGGTCTGCGGCCTGACGGAATCATCGGGCACTCCCTGGGCGAGGTGGCCTGCGGCTACGCAGACGGCTGCCTCTCGCAGGAGGAGGCCATCCTCGCTGCCTACTGGAGGGGCCAGTGCATCAAGGAAGCCAACATCCCGCCAGGGGCCATGGCGGCCGTGGGTGGGTGTCTCCCCATTCCTACATCCCATTCAGCCCACTGGCCTAAGGGTCTCCAGGGAGGTGTGTCTCCCGAGCACTCCAGATGCCCACACCCGGCAGAGGCGGGCCTGGGGGGACCCCATCGGCCACCGTCCTCACTGCAGAGCCATGGGGCCACCACTTTTCAGTACCCACCACAGTGGCCTCCCCATACCCAGTGGCCTTGACGCCCAGCATATTCAGGGACGCGGGTCTGTAAATGCTGGTGCCCTTTCTGCGCGCCTGAGCTGAGGCCAGGAGGGGCGATCACTTCCTCACAAACACACAAGCCCCAGGGTCGTCGGAGAAATTGGTCCTGCCTCCTCTCTGTGGCACCTGCTCCTCGGGGCTCCCGGGGAAGAGCGGACCTGCTCAGGCCTCGGGCAGGCTGGGCTGCGGACGGAAGGGACACCTCGGAGAGCCCCCGCCCTGGAGGGCCTGCAGGAGAGGCGTTAGGAGCCCAGACCCGGCTCCCGGCGCCTGGGGCACCCACGAGGGCGCCGTGCCCTGCGATCAAACAGCAGGAGTGAAAGCAGCTCGTAAAGGCACCGCTTCGCGGCTGTCATTACCGCACCCCTGTCATTAGGGGCTCCCCCCGGGCAGCCTCTTGCTCTCTCGGGCAGGGGCCCCCAGCCCCCCGGCCCCCCGGCAGCCGCCCCCTGAGGCCTCCCTGCCCACAGGCTTGTCCTGGGAGGAGTGTAAGCAGCGCTGCCCTGCTGGCGTCGTGCCCGCCTGCCACAACTCCGAGGACACCGTGACCATCTCAGGACCGCAGGTGGGGCCTGGGCGCCGAGGCTTGTCCCCAGGGCCCTCCCTCGGGACTGGGGACCGCCCGGGTGCATTCATCCAGCCCCCCAACGTCTCTGTCCTAGGCGGAGGTGGCCGCGTTCGTGGCAGAGCTGAAGCAGGAAGGTGTGTTTGCCAAGGAGGTGCGGACGGGCGGCATAGCCTTCCACTCCTACTTCATGGACTCCATCGCCCCCACGCTGCTGCAGGAGCTCAAGAAGGTGGGCTCCCCGGAGGCGGGGCTCCCCGGAGGCGGGGCTCCCCGGAGGCGGGGCTCCCCGGAGGCCTGACCCTGTCCTGTGCACAGGTGATCCGGGAGCCGCGGCCCCGCTCGGCACGCTGGCTCAGCACATCCATCCCTGAGGCCCAGTGGCAGGGCAGCCTGGCCCGCACGTTCTCGGCAGAGTATAATGTCAACAACCTGGTTAGCCCCGTGCTGTTCCAGGAGGCGCTGTGGCACGTGCCCGCCAACGCCGTGGTGGTGGAGATCGCCCCCCACGCCCTGCTGCAGGTGCGCACTCGGGGGCCAGGGCGGGCGGGGACTGGCTGCCAAGAGAAGCCGACGGTCTGGGCCTGGGGCCGGGAGGGACACAGTCAGGAAGGCCTGTCTGCCCTCCCAGGCCGTTCTCAAGAGAGGCCTCAAGCCCAGCTGCGCCATCCTTCCCCTGATGAAGAAGGACCAGAGTGACAACCTGGAGTTCTTCCTCAGCAGCGTGGGCAAGTTGCACCTGTTAGGGTGAGTCAGCTGCCCCCTGCCGGGCTGGGTGGGGGAGCGGGTGGGGGCGGGGGCAGCCTCCACTCAGGCTTTTCCCCGACAGCAAGGTGCGTTAACCGGGCCACACAGTGAGGTCATCCGCAGGAAGTGGGCTGGCGCATGCAGGGCCCCCACCTCACCCTGGCAATCCCTGGGGTCTCCTGCGAGACGGTTGGCCATGGATAGGACAGGGTAGCCCCAGGTAAGGCCACCTGGGCTGAGAGAGCCCCTCAGACCTTTCACACACCCTCAGCTTCAGCGTCAACCCCAACGGCCTGTTTCCACCTGTGGAGTTTCCAGTTCCCCGGGGGACCCCTCTCATCTCCCCTCACATCAAGTGGGACCATAGTCAGACCTGGGACGTGCCCACCGCCGATGACTTCCCCAGCGGCCCTCACAGCTCCCCTGCCACCATCTGCAACATTGGTGAGTGGGGGCTGAGGGGGCGCGGGGGCGGGGCGAGGGCACTCCCTCCCCCACGCCGGCACTAAGGCCCAGCCCCCGCAGACACCAGCCCCGAGTCCCCTGACCACTACCTGGTGGACCACTGCATCGACGGCCGCATCCTCTTCCCGGCCGCCGGCTACCTGTGCCTGGTCTGGAAGACTCTGGCAAGTGCCTTTGGCCAAATCATGGAGCAGCTGCCCGTGGTGTTTGAGGACGTGACGGTGCATCAGGCTACCATCCTGCCCAATACCGGTAAGACAGGAGCCCAGCAGGGCCCAGGTGCGAAGGCTGCCCGCTGACCCCTGCCACTGAGCTCCGGCCTTGCTGTCCCTAGGGACCGTGTCCCTGGAAGTGCAGCTTCTACAGGCTTCCCGAAGCTTCGAGGTGTCTGACAACGGCAGCCTGATAGTGAGCGGTGAGCAGATGGTGCCTGGCCGGGCTGCAGGGTCTCCACCAGGCTGGGCTCCGAGTGGACCCCGGGCTGCTGGCGCCACTCCACCCGCCCTCAGGCTCTCCTGTGCCCTCCCCCCGCCGTAGGGAAGGTTTACCAGTGGGAGGACCCCGACACCAAGCTCTTCGACAGACAGGACAGCCTGTACCGCACGGACCCCACGGCTACGTTCCACCTGAGCCAGGGGGACGTGTACAAAGAGCTGCGTCTGTGCGGCTATGACTACGGCCCTCATTTCCAGGGCATCCTCGAGGCCAACCTTGAAGGTAGGGTGCTGGGTCCCCACCTGCCGCTCTGGGAACAGGCCTTGAGGCTGCCGGGGGGCCGGACCAGGCCCAACCCACCACCCAGCATCCTGCCGCCCAAGCCGTGCGGAGGGAGGGCTGCCCAGCCCTGCTGACTGCCCCTGTCCGCAGGCACCGCGGGCCGGCTGCTGTGGAACGGCAATTGGGTGACGTTCCTGGACACCATGCTGCAGATGTCCATCCTGAGCATGGCCCAGCACACCCTACGCCTGCCCACACGCATCACCTCCATCCACATCGACCCCGCCACCCACCTGCGCAGGATGTACTCGCTGCAGGACAAGGCCCAAGGTAGCCCCCACGCCCCAGTCCCCTCAGCCCCGTGTCCCTGCGCTGGGCGCCGCCTGCATTCACCCAGCCCTTCCCCGCAGCGGTCGACGTGGTGGTGAGCAGCTGTCTGCACAGCACGGTGGCCGGCGGCATCCTCCTGTCGGGCCTCCACGCCGAGGTGGCCCCGAGGCGGCAGCAGGAGCAGTTCGTACCCATCCTGGAGAAGTTCTGCTTCACGCCGTACACAGAGCAGGGGCTCCTCGCTGGAGACCCAGCCCTGCAGGAGGCGCTACAGATGTGCAGAGGTGAGACCCAGCCCCCACCCCCACCCCCACCCCCACCGGGACCTGCTGGTGTTTGCAACTTCTTGCTTCCCAAGGGGCCTCAACTTGCCTCCTCACAAGGCTCCCAGTCTTCAGGAAGAGCCCAAGGGTACCAGGACAGATTCGGCCTGCACCCTTCCCCAGCTGTGACCCGCGTGTGATGCCCATTCCCTCCCCTCCCCTCCCCTCCCCTCCCCTCTCCGCGGAGTGTTCACACCCCTGCAGATCGCTGGGGGTAGTTGGTGGGGGACTGGGCACAGTTGGGGAGCTCAGGGCCCTGGTGGGGCTCGCACCTCGATGGTAGGCACAGCCCCCTGGATACCCACCCAGAGGCTCCTGGCCTTGGAGGCGCAGGCTGCCCGGGCAATGGGTCCCTGCTGGGGGTCGCTGAGGGGACGCTGGCCCCGCTGACACTCCTTCCCGGGGCCGCCTCTCTCCCCCCTAGGGCTGGCACTGGCACTGCAGACTAGGGTGGCCCAGCAGGGGCTGAAGATGGCGGTACCTGGGCTGGACGGGGCCCCGGCCCCGGCCCCCCAGGAGCCACCGCAGCAAGGCCTGCCCCGCCTGCTGGCGGCTGCCTGCCAGCTGCAGCTCAATGGGAGCCTCCCACTGGAGCTGGGCCAGCTGCTGAAGCAGCAGCGCCCCCTGCTGCAGGACGACCCCCTGCTCACCGGCCTCCTCGACTCCCCGGCGCTCAAGGCCTGCGTGGACACCGCCCTGGAGAACACGACCAGCCTCAAGATGAAGGTTGTGGAGGTGCGTGCCAGTCAGGACAGTTCGGCATGGCGCATGCAGGCCCAGCCCCGGGCAGACTCCAGTCTGTGCGCTCTCCCGGGCAGGGGCCAGTTAGAGGCCGTGCTGCCCTTATGTCCTTTACTGTCCTGCCCTGAATGCTGAGCATCGGGTGAGAAGAGGGGATGCCGTGGACGCCACGGACAGGGATGATGCTAGCTGCCGGTCTCCTCGGCCATGTCGGTGGGTGGGCTCCTCTGGCAGACGCTCGCTGGCCTGGGTCGGGACTCCTGCCTGGTGGCAGCTGATGCAGGAAGCTGTCTCCACTTCCAGGTGCTGGCTGGCGACGGCCACCTATATTCCCGCATCCCAGCGCTGCTTAACACCCAGCCCATGCTGCAGCTGGACTACATAGCCACGGACCGCCACACTCAGGCCCTGGAGGCTGTCCAGGCCACGCTGCAGGAGCACGGCATAGCCCAGAGCCAGTGGGACCCCTTGGGCTCCGCCCCCAGCCACCTGGGCATGGCTGATCTCCTTGTGTGTAACTGTGCCGTGGCCAGCCTCGGTGATCCGGCCACGGCCATCGGCAACATGCGGGCCGCTCTCAAGGAGGGTGGCTTCCTACTTCTGCACGTCCTGCTCAAAGGACACCCCCTCGGAGAGACGGTCGCCTTCCTCACGTGCCCTGAGCCGCAACGAGGCCAGCAGAGCCTCCTCAGCCAGGTGCAGGGGCGGGGCGGGGTGGGGCGGGGTGGGGCGGGGGCCAGGGGAGGGGCCGGAGAGGCCTGGCAAGCACTGACCGCCCCCTCCGTGTGCAGGACCAGTGGGAGAGTCTGCTTGCCAGGGCGTCCCTGTGCCTAGTGGCCCAGAAGAGGTCCTTCTACGGTTCTGTGCTCTTCCTGTGCCGCCGGCCGCTCCTGCGGGACAGCCCTGTCTTCCTGCCTGTGGAGGACACCACCTTCCAGTGGGTAGACTCCCTGAAGGTCAGTCCCGGCTGGACCCGGCACCCTGGGCCTGGGCCCCCCCCCACCCCGGCACCCTGGGCCTGGGAACCCACCCGGAGGCCAACCTTTTTCTTGTCCTGCAGAACGTTCTGGAAGACTCCTCCCTCCGGCCCGTGTGGCTGACCGCTGTCAGTGGGGTCACCTCAGGCGTCGTGGGCTTGGTGAACTGCCTCCGCAAGGAGCCCAGCAGGCACCGGATCCGGTAAGGGACGCGGCCGAGCTGCACACCCTCTTCCCTCCTTTACCTCCCCCGTGCCCGCCCAGCCTCGGCTCACCCGTTTGGCCACCCACAGGTGCATCCTGGTGTCCAACCTCAGCAGCAAGGTTCACACCCCCAGTTTGGACCCTGGCTCCTCAGAGCTGCAGAAGGTGCTGCAGGGGGACCTTGTGATGAACGTCTACCGAGACGGGGCCTGGGGGTCCTTCCGCCATTTCCCACTGGAGCGTGGTGAGCGCCCCCCCCCCATCAGCTCCCTGGCGTGTAGCGGGGTGGGCTGAGAAGGCAGAGTCAGAGGGCCCTGCTTGGGAAGCCCCCCACGGCAGCCCCACCTCCTGTCGCCCCCAGGCCTGCCGGAGGAGCAAACCGAGTACGCCTTCGTGAACGTCCTCACCCGGGGGGACCTCTCCTCCATCCGCTGGGTCTGCTCGTCTCTGCGGCACCCCCGGCTCACCAGCCCTGGCGTCCAGCTCTGTTCTGTCTACTATGCTTCCCTTAACTTCCGAGATATCATGCTGGCCACAGGCAAGCTCTCCGCTGATGCCATCCCAGGTACGGGCCGCACGTCATGGGCACGGCCAGACCCAAGCCTCCAGGTCAGGACCTGGAAAGAAGAGGGTTCCCTGCCCCACAGTGTGTGGGACCTGGAGGCTTCTCAGGCCTGGTGGGCTCCCCCAGGGAGATTCAGGGCTCACCCTCACCATCTGTCCCCAGGGAAACGGGGCGTCCACGACTGTGTGCTGGGCATGGAGTTCTCTGGCCGAGACGCCAGCGGCAGGCGTGTCATGGGGCTGGTGCCCGCTGAAGGCCTGGCTACCTCTGTCCTGCTCTCTCAGGACTTCCTTTGGGAGGTGCCCTCCAGCTGGTGAGTCGGTGGGGCTGTGAGTCCCCAGACAGCCATGGCCAAGGCTGTCCTGAGCTGATCCCTCGCGCTGTGCCCACAGGACCCTAGAGGAGGCAGCTTCGGTGCCTGTGGTCTACACCACCGCCTACTACTCGCTGGTGGTGCGGGGGCGCATACAGCCTGGGGAGACGGTGCTCATCCACTCGGGCTCAGGCGGCGTGGGCCAGGCCGCCATCACCATCGCACTCAGTCTGGGCTGCCGCGTCTTCACGACTGTGGGTAAGCCCACCAACCCCCCGGGAGCCTGGGGCTGCCACCCACCCACCCAGCCCTGCAGCCTTGGTTCACTGGCACGTGCCTCTGCCTGCCAGGGTCGGCCGAGAAGCGGGCGTACCTCCAGGCCAGGTTCCCCCAGCTCAGCGCCACCTGCTTTGCCAACTCCCGGGACACATCTTTTGAACAGCACGTGCTGCGGCACACGGCAGGGAAGGGTGAGCAGCCCAGGGGCCCCCGGGGGCGTCCCTGACACCTCCATCGGCTGTTCTCTACCCACACCCCTGCCTTCCTCCTCTCCTCTTCCTCGCGGGCCCAGGCAGGGACAGGGTCTGGCCCTCTGCGCTTGGGCCAGATGTGACAGTGAGGACCCCTCTTTCCCCACCCAAGGTGTGGACCTGGTCTTGAATTCTCTGGCGGAAGAAAAGCTGCAGGCCAGCGTGCGGTGCCTGGCCCAGCACGGCCGGTTCCTGGAAATCGGCAAATTCGACCTTTCCAACAATCACCTGCTGGGTGAGGCGGGCAGGGGACAGGGCGGGTGGGCGGGATCGGGCGGGATGCGCAGGGAAGGCCGTGGGCTGTGAGCCCTGCTCTCCGTCCTCCCAGGCATGGCCGTTTTCCTGAAGAACGTGACCTTCCACGGGATCCTGCTGGACTCGCTCCTGGACGAGGTCAATGCCAGGTGGCAGGAGGTGGCGGCGCTGCTGAAAGCAGGCATCCGGGACGGCGTGGTGCAGCCCCTCAAGTGCACCGTCTTCCCCAAGGACCAGGTGGAGGACGCATTCCGCTTCATGGCCCAAGGGAAGCATATCGGGAAGGTGGTCGTCCAGGTGAGGAGGGGTCCCAGGCATCCCCCACGTCACTGTCCCCGGGGCAGTGCTTGAGCACGGCTGCTGCTTGGGCCGCAGGTGCGCCAGGAGGAGCCGGAGGCGGTGCTGCGGGAGCCGAGTCCCACCCTGATGACCGCCGTGTCCAGGACCTTCTGCTCGGCCCACAAGAGTTACGTCATCACCGGGGGCCTGGGCGGCTTCGGCCTGGAGCTGGCCCAGTGGCTTGTGCTGCGAGGGGCCCGGAAGCTCGTGCTGACCTCTCGCTCCGGAATCCGCACAGGTGAGCAGGCCTGGGGGTGCGGGGGGTGCCTGGTCACCTCAGGCCTCGTGTGCTCTCGGGGTTAGGGCCCCCGGTTGGCCCGACCCCACTGCCCTGTGTCCTGCAGGCTACCAGGCCAAGCAGGTCCGGGAGTGGAGGCGTGAGGGCGTGCAGGTCCTGGTGTCCACCAGCAACGCCAGTTCGCTGGATGGGGCCCAGAGACTAATCGATGAGGCCACACAGCTGGGCCCCGTGGGAGGCGTCTTCAACCTGGCCGTGGTGAGTGTGGTTCTAAAGGGGCTAGAGCCGGCTGCCCAGGGAAGGACCTCCCGGGTCCAGCCTCCGAAGCTGTGAGGTCAGGGCAGGTGCTGAGGGTCCCTCGTCCCCAGGTCCTGAAAGATGCCATGCTGGAGAACCAAACCCCGGAGCTCTTCCAGGACGTCAACAAGCCCAAGTTCAGCGGCACTGTGAACCTTGACAGGTGAGGTGAGGTGCGGGGCCTCCAGCCCCGTCCCCACCCCCCAGCACAGCCCGGCGTCTGCTGGGAGCAGCTGCCTCTCCTGGTGTGCACCCCTACACAGCAGTCCCATTCCCCCCCGCCCCGCCGAGACCAGGCCACAGGCCTCGTCGGGGTTTAGGGAAGCAGAAGCAGACAGACAGGTGGGGACCCCTGGGTGCGTTGGCAGGTGGGCTGGGCCAGCCTGCAGGGTGTGACTCAAGCACCCACAGGGTGACCCGAGCTGCGTGCTCCGAGCTGGACTACTTCGTGGCTTTCTCCTCCGTGAGCTGCGGGCGTGGCAATGCTGGCCAGGCCAACTACGGCTTCGCCAACTCCACCATGGAGCGTGTGTGTGAGAAGCGCCAGCATGATGGCCTCCCGGGTGAGCCCGCCCGCTCCTTGCCCACCAGCCCCCGCCGGGCATCGCCCCCGCTCGGGCCCACGCTCACCCCAGCTTCCCCGGCCCTGTTCCGCAGGCCTCGCCATTCAGTGGGGCGCCATCGGCGACGTAGGCCTCATCATGGAGGGTTCAGGTTCCAATGACGTGGTCATCGGTGGAACGCTGCCCCAGCGGATCGCCTCCTGCCTGGAGGTGCTGGACCTCTTCCTGAACCAGCCCCACCCCGTCTTGAGCAGCTTCGTGCTGGCCGAGAAGGCCACCAGCCCCAGTGACGGCACTCACCAGCAGGATCTGATGAAGGCCGTGGCCCACATCCTGGGTGAGGGAGACGCCTTCCCACACTGGCAGACACTCTGCTCCCCTGAGCCTCGGTTTCCCTGGCTTAAAAGAGGCTCTGCTTTTCTGCTGAGGGGGCACAGAGCCGGTGGGGGTCACGTGCCATAACCACGGTGACACAGTCCTCACTCCCGTGAGCTGGCCGTGCTCACCCAGGGCCCTGCCCTGCTCCCCGTCCCGAATTGCCAACTGAGCCACCTGTCCCCAGGCATCCGAGACTTGGCCACCGTCAACCTGGACAGCTCCCTGGCGGACTTGGGCCTGGACTCGCTCATGGGTGTGGAGGTGCGCCAGATGCTGGAGCGGGAGCTCGACCTGGTGATGTCCATGAGGGACATCCGGCATCTGACGCTGCGGAAGCTACAGGAACTCTCCTTGAAGACCAGCACAGCTGACAGTGTGTGGTCCCAAAGGGGGAAGCCGGAGAAAGGGGAGGGTGGCTGGGCGGCCGTGGCCCACACTCCTCTTCTAGGGTCGGGGGTGCACGTCCCTGGAGGGGCGCCAGTGCCCCATTGTGCCGCCGGCTCACGGGCAGCCCAGGCCCCACTCCCACCTCGGACTTGTACACGTGGCCCCTTCCTGAGTGCCCTTGGTGGGGCCTAGTGTCCTTCACCCAAGTCCCGCCCCCCTTACCCCCCCCCCGCGGTTGCCTGGGTCGGCTGTGAGGGGTGGGGGTTATGTGCAGGGGGGACCCATGTGGCCCCAGCCCTCCCTGGCATCTGCTCCTCCTCACAGAGCTGGCAGCCCCCGCGCCCAAGGAAGACAGTCCTGCCAGCCAGCAGGCCCAGCCGAGCCTGAGCACCCTGCTGGTGAATCCTGAGGGCCCGACCTTGACGCAGCTCAACTCGGTGCAGAGCTCGGAGCGCCCCCTGTTCCTGGTGCATCCCATCGAAGGCTCCATCACTGTGTTCCGCAGCCTGGCGTCCAAGCTCAGCATCCCCACCTACGGCTTACAGTGCACTCGAGGTGCGACTCGGCCTGCCAGGCTCTCTCCCCACCCCCCACTAACGCGGGGTAGTGTGCATGCCCCCCCCCCCCCCGCCGCCCCTCCCGCCCACGGCTGAGCCGCCTCCTGCCCCACAGCTGCGCCTCTGGACAGCATCCAGAGTCTGGCCGCCTACTACATCGAGTGCATCAGGCAGGTGCAGCCGGAGGGGCCCTACCGCATCGCTGGCTATTCCTACGGGGCCTGCGTGGCCTTCGAGATGTGCTCGCAGCTACAGGCCGCACAGCAGAGCCCTGCCCCCACACATAACAGCCTCTTCCTGTTCGATGGCTCACACTCCTACGTGCTGGCCTACACGCAGGTGAGGGCTGCAGCGGGGCTGGCCGGCTCCCGGCCCCACCCCCAGGGTCCCGGCCCAGCCGGCGGCTGCCACACACGTTCTTCCCTTCACAGAGTTACCGCGCAAAGCTGACCCCCGGCTGTGAGGCCGAGGCCGAGGCCGAGGCCATGTTCTTCTTTGTGCAGCAGTTCATCAACGTGGAGCACAGCAGGGTGGGTCCAGGGAGCCGGTGGGGGTGGGGAGGGTCCGGCCCAGAAGTCCGTTCCCTCCCTACAGCACGGTCTCTGGGCAGCATGCGCCGGACGCACCGCTCAGAGGCCCTTCCCGCAGGTGCTGGAGGCGCTGCTGCCCCTTAAGGGCCTCGAGGAGCGCGTGGCGGCCACCGTGGACCTGATCCTGCGCAGCCACGCAGGCCTGGACCGCCGCGAGCTGAGCTTCGCCGCTCATTCCTTCTACCACAAGCTGCGAGCAGCCGAGCAGTACATGCCGCGGGCCACCTACCACGGCAACGTGACGCTGCTGCGCGCCAAGACTGGCAGCGTGTACGGTGAGGGCCTGGGTGCCGACTACAACCTGTCCCAGGTGTGCGACGGCAAGGTGTCCGTGCACGTGATTGAGGGCGACCACCGCACGCTGCTAGAGGGCAGCGGCCTGGAGTCCATCCTCAGCATCATCCACAGCTCCCTGGCTGAGCCACGTGTCAGCGTCCGGGAGGGCTAGGTGCCCCCGTGGCCGGGGCAGGTCCTGCCGGTGGGACCCTCCCCCGTCCCCGCCCCACTGCCCAGCCCAGACCCCTGCCCGCGCCCTGTGTGCCGCCAGCAAAGGGACTGACAGCCCTGCCCACAGCCGCCATCTCCTCCTGCGCCATGGCGGCCACGGGGGGCTGCGCCACCGACTCGGAGACCTGCCTGGGTCTGTGAAAAGTCGGCCCAGCTGCCAGCCGCACGGGATCCCCCACGTAGGTCTGTTTCTTGCTTCTCCATTTGATCCTCCTATTTATTGCGTCGCTGGGGAGACGCCAGGGCCTCGTCCACCCTGTGCAGGCCGGCGGCGCAGGAGCCTCCAGCCCTGGGGCCCCCATGATGCAGGGGCCTGCGGAAAGGAGCAGCCCCGGGCGCGTCGGGGCACCCACCCTGTGTTCGTCTGTGTTCATTTTTCAAGAAACATGATTCAAATTGCTGCTGGAATTCTGGAATTTTACTGTTAACTGTCAGTGTAAAGGACCATGTCTGGACCCTGTTCCATTTTTACACTCCCCCCCCCCCCCCCCCCCCCCCCAGTAAAAGCCACGGTCCCGCAGACACCCCCCCCCCATTAAACCCACGTGAGCTCCAGCCTCCAGTCACCCTTTCTTACCTTCTGTGACAGCTGCTGTGGGGCCAGTACTGTCCTGCCACATCCCAGGGGTCCAGAGGGGCTGCCCCTCTGCTCCCCGCAGCCCCCCGGGGCCCGTGTGTATGCAAGCTCACAGGCTCCAGAAAGGCGGGGCCTCCCTGGAGGGCTGGGGCAGGCGTGGCTCCACCAGGGAAACGGCACCAGTGGGGCAGACATGTCCTGTGTCACTGTGTCACTGTGTCACTGGGGGTGCCCAAAAGGTGAGCCCGGGCAGTGTGTCTTGTCAGAATTCCTTACTCCTGAGGGAAGCCTTGGGATTGCTCCCCAAGGTCTCACCTCATTTGAGGTGGGTTACCTACGTTGTCGAGAATGACCTTTACATCAATTCAGTGGGCCATAGGTATGAGTCTCCTCAACAAAATACCTTCCCAGCAACACCTAGACTAGTGCTGGCATAACTGGTCAACTTGACCAAGAGACTGATTCTATCGGCTTGGGTGAAGGTGTGGGCGCTAGATCAAAGGGTGTCAGTTGGGCAGCAAGATCCCCTGAGCATCGGAACCCTGAGAGCCAAGGGGTGAGGTGGACCCCAGTGGATTCATGGGCGGAGAGTTGTGGGCCGATTGGCAGAAATGAGCATGGAGAGCCGGACCCTACAATCGGAAAGCCAGAGCGCGGAGGCTCAGGCCCACCTCTAGGCTTCTAAAAGGATATGTTGAACCCAGAAACAGACCAGAGGCCCTTCCACATTCCTCAGAATTCTATAGAATTCCCATTAGCCAGCATTTCCGCTCCTAGGTATATACCCTAAAGAATTCTAAATGGGCTCAAACACAGGTGTGTATCAGTGTTCACAGCAGCAGTACTCACAGTGGCCAAGACACAGATACAAGCCAAGTGTCCACCAATAGACTTGCTGTGAAAACGTGGTCTGTTTGTGCCTGGAATGTTATTCAGCCATGAAAGGGGATGTTCTGGTACATGCTGTGTGGATCTAAAGTCATGCTAATGGTAGTGAAAAGATTTCTGGAGTAGAATGTTATCAGAAATTTTCAGAGCAAAAAATACACTTAGGACAAATAGTTATTTCATAATGATAGAAGAGTCCACTAGCTGAAAGGGTGTCATGATCCTGAACTTATGTCCCGTAACAGTTCCAAATTAGAGGAAGCAAAGGTTGTAGGTCAAAGAGAAGAAACAGACAAATTCACAAAGTTGGAGATTTCAGAAGCTCTCTCCTTTACTGGTAGAACAAGAAAGTCAATAGACTATAGAAGACTTGAACTATACGGCCAACCAACTTGCCCTTATTGACATAGAACATTCCACCCAACAGCAACCACCGTCTTTTCAAAGTCACATGGAACGTTCACAAAGATAGCACACATCATGGGTCATAAAACATCCTTTGTCAGTAACTTACCAAAAAATCAACTAAAGTATTTTCTCTGATAACAGAATTAGTATCAGTAGCAAAAAGAGCTTGGCAATATCCTCAAGTGTTAGGAAGCAAGTCATAACTCAAAAAAAGCACAAGGGTTAAAGAATTGGGAGGGAAATCATTTTTTACAACTGAGAGAAAATGGCGCAGCAGCGTACCTGCGGGTACTTGGAGGAAGGTACCGCGTGGAGGGCCTGCAGCAAAAAAGTTTCTCAAATGAATTAACTTTCAGAAACAAAAAATTAAAAGCCAACAAGACCCAGACTGAACAAAATAATGGAAAGAGTACATCTCACAGTGAAAATCCATTAGATAAAATACACAAAATTAATGAAACCAGAAGCTAGTCCTTTGAGAACACCAATAATATATAAACCAGATTGAAGTGGAAAAGAGATACAGACACAAATTACCAACATCAGGAATCACAGATGTGACATCATTAAGATTCTATACATGTTAAAAGACTAATAAGGGAATATTGTGAACAGCTTTGTGCCAAACAATTGGATACCTTAGATAAAATGAAAAAAAATGATGGCGTCAAGAAGAAATTGACCACCAAATAACCCTACATCTATGGAAAAAAAGCGAGTTTGTAGTGAAAAACCTTCCCATGAAGAGAACTCCAGACCTGAATGAAAATTTTTCTGCTGAAAATCTAACAGAAAAATACTACCCATTCTATCCAAACTCTTCTTGAATTTTGGAAAGGAAACCAGTCTCAATACAGTGAAAAAATTCAATCTACATGATACATTTTGAGGTTGTGTCAGTCTGTTCACGACACTCTAGACTGAAATTCATTTTCCCACGGCTCGAGAGGTGAGGACGTCCCAGATGAAGGTTCCTGCCAGTTTGGTACCAGGTGAGGCTCTCTTCTCGGCTTGCAGATGCTGCCTCGCGGCTCTGAGCCCACCTGGCGGACAGCGAGCAAGGCAATCCTGTACCAGCTCTTCTATGAGGCCAGCATTACTTTCATACTAAAACCTAACAAAGACATCACAGGAGCACTAGAAACCACCATCATCACACGTGCTAACACTCTACACAGAATGGCGGCGCGCAGAGTCACATGTTAGAGGACAACGCATCACAGCCCGATGGGGTCTGTCCTAGGAATGCGGGGCCTGGCTCAACATTCAAAAATCAATCGATATAATTCACCACATTCGTGGTCAAAAGGGGATCATCTCTGGATGCAGAAAACAGCCTGTGCTGAACACAGGCGTACAGAACCCAGTGCCCCTTGTGAGGACAGCTCTCAGCCAGCTAGAAACAGGAGACCTGTGACAACTGCAGCTGCCGCCACTCGCAAGTGCTCCCCCTGCGACCAGGAACAAGGCAGAGACCCGCAGCCCCACCACCTCCAGTCAACACCATATTGGAAGCTCTAGTCAGTGCAAGTCAAGGAGCAGAGATGAAAGGCATACAGACTAGAAGAGAAGAAGTCAAACTGTCCCTGCTTGCAGACGACATGGCCACCTTTGCAGAAGAGCTGGTAGAAATCCACAAAACCTTCTGGATGTAAGAAGTGAGTTTTGTGATCTCCCGGGTGGCTCAGTCGGTTAAGCGTCCAACTTGGGCTTGGGTCATGATCTCACAGTTTCTGTGTTCGAGTCCTGCCTTGGGCCCTGTGCTGACATTTCGGAACCTGGGGCTGCTTCAGACTCTGTGTCTCCTCTCTCTGCCCCTCCCCCACTCGTGTTCTGTCTCTGTCTCTCAAAAATAAATAAATGTAAAAAATCTTTTAAAAAGAAGTGAGTTTAGCAAGACTGCAAGAGAAACCGGTGTACTAAACCCCATCTCGTGATTACGTACAGGGGATGAACAGGCGGGCGTTGATGTTAAAAAATCAATACGATCCACAATAGCGCCCTCTAAGGAAGGAACAGTTCAGGATAAATATGATGAAGGTGGGGAAGGGTGTTTCCACTCCTGAATGAGATCAGAAAACAGAGTAGGGAGATGTGCTGTCCTTGTGGATTAGAAAATTCAATGTTAATGTATAAATTCTCCCCAAAATGACCTGTAGGTTCTTAAAAATATTTTATTTATAAGCAATCTCTACACCCTACATGGGGCTCAAACTCACAACCCCGAGACCAAGAGTTAGACGCTCCAGGGATGGAACCAAATACAATCTCTGTCAAAATCCTAACAGATTTTCTGTGGGAATTGACGAGCTGATTGTAAAATCTGTGTCAATGCAAGGACCTGGAATAGCCAGTGGAATCCGGTAGAGAGCTACAAAGTTGGAGACGTTACATTACCTGATTCCAAGGTTTGTCAAGATTTACTATGAAGCCGCATCAAGACGCTGTTCATTGACATAAAGATACATAAGTAGATCAACGGAACTAAATAATGAGTCAGGAAATACATTAACACGTGTATAGACAGCTAATTTTCAGCAGAGATGCAAAGGCCATTCCATGGAGAAAGGATTTTCTTTTCAGTAGATGGTTCTGGAATAAGTGGATATACATGTGCAAAAAAAAAAAAAAAAAAAAAAAGGAAAAAGACCTTAGATCCATACCACAACACATACAAAAAATTAACTCGAAATGGATCATAGACCTAAATGTAACTTTTAATACTATAAACTTACTGAAATAAATATAGGAGATGTTTGTGAACTCAGGTTAGGCAAAGATTTCTTACCTATGACACCAAAAGCATGACTGATAAAAGAATAATAAGTTGTTAAGTTGGATGTTATCAAAGCTTGATCATTTCTACTCTTTGAAAGACACTGTTATTGAAATCAAAGACAAATGCTATCAATGCTATTGAAATTTTAAAAAATACAGTAGAACAGATCAATGAAACCAGAAGCTGATTCACTGAAAGAGTTAACAAAAGTGGGGTGCCTGGGTGGCTCAGTCGATTAAGCCTCTGACTTTGGCTCAGGTCATGATCTCACAGTTCACGAGTTCGAGCCCCACATCAGGCTCTGTGCTGACACAGCTCAGAGCCTGGAGCCCACTTCAGATTATGTGTCTCCCTCTCTCTGCCCCTCCCCTCCTCATGCTCTGTCTGTCTCTCTCAAAAATAAATAAACACTAAAAAATTTTTAATAAAAAAAGAATTAACAAAATTGATAAACCCCTAGCCAAATTGATCAAAAAGATAAAGGAAAGGACCCAAATAAATAAAGAAAATCAAGAATGAAAGAGGAGAGATCACAACCAACACAGCAGAAATACAAACAATAATAAGAGAATATTATGAGCAACTATATGCCAATAAATTGGGAAATCTGGAAGAAATGGACAAATTCCTAGAAACATATAAACTACTGAAACTGAAACAAGAAGAAATAGAAAAGTTGAACAGGACCATAACCAGTAAAGAAATCAAAATAGTAATCAAAAATCTTCCCCCCGCAAAAAAAAAAAAAAAAAAAAC